TTTCTTTGTAAAGACGAATTGTACAAGCTTATGCTATTTGAAGAACAATGCACGGAGAGCTACCTTCAGAGAAGAGCGAAAAAGTTCCACTCGACGCAGGAAGAACGTGTGCGAGGGATAGCAGACCGGTAAGGTTAATCAAATAACAACCAAGGATAATGTGAGAAACGTATTGACTCCCATAAGTACAAGGTAKATACGATCCTGAAAGTCCCTTGTTTTTTTCCACCCGTGCGATAGCTGTAATAATCGAGTGCGAGTGCGGAATCAGTGTTCGAGTTGCAACAACTCCTTTGCTCATTTTAACCTCCCGTCCCCCTTCCCTTAATTCCCCCTTTCCCTTAATTCCCCCTTTCCCCTTCTCCATTTAATGTTGTGCTACTACCTCCCGACGCCTCTTCCTTCAGTGTTATTAAAGAGTTATAATTTTTAAGGGTGGAATCCAACGCTGGTGAGATTGACAAGCTGTCAAAAACCCTTCAAAGTGTCGACGATCGCTGTAGTAAGCTGGAAGAATACACGCTTCAAATCTTAGATGTGGTGGGCCATTTACAGCTATCGATCCCAGTCTCCATATCCGAGTGYGAAGGGATGTCACGTGACTGTGATGAGCAAGAGATGTCCATGGGGCAATATCATGAAGGGAACTGGAGCGATAGGTACACTATTCAGAATGAAAGTACAGCCCCTGCTCTTAATCGCATGATCAGTATGCCCGCCTATATGCACCAGAAGATCCATTCAACWGGCCMAAGTGGTCCATTGTACTTTAGAAATAAACTCCCATTAACGAACCCCTATCAGTAYCGGCAGCAGTTCAATAGTGGTGCCCATGCAGCAAAAACGAGTCTCAAGAAGGCCATTTCAAGATTTCGAAGGAACACATTACCGAGAGATCTGCCAGAACGTCGAAACAAACGATCCACAAGTAACCCTCAAAATGATGATAACGAAGATGGAGCTTCATTRTCTTCGAGTGTCAAATCTAATCAACGTCTAAGAAAAGCTGATAGTACTGCAGGCAAAGAATGCATTGGAGGTAGCTTTACTTTTATACCTTGCTATTACATTATGCGGACGCTTCTGGCCACTTCTGTTGACTGCTCAGGTTTCTTTATGCCSCCGGTCAAGAGAMGAASTCTGAACAGAAAATTTCCGGGTTGCCTWGCGCTTTGCGCGYGCATGATTTCAAGAAAAAAMMSGRRSYTYSGRA